CCTCCCCCACTATCATAATCCCAATTCTACCTAACAAATCTGCCTAGACCAGAGGATGTACAATGGTATAGGTAGGAACTGGAAACAGGGAATCCAGGGTGGATGATCCCTTCAGGACCAGTGGTGTGAGCAGTGATACTGGGAGGGTGGAGGGATGGTGGGTTGGAAAGGGGGAACCGATTACAAGGGTCTACATGCGGCCTTCTCCTTGGGGGATGGACAACAGAAAAGTGGATGAAGGGAGCCGTCAGACAGTGCAAGATATGACAAAATAATAATTTCTAAATTATGAAGTGCTCATGAGGGAGGGGAAAATATGAGCTGATGCCAAGGGCTTAGGTGGAGAGAAAATGTTTTGAGAACGATGAGGGCAATGAATGTACAAAGGTGCGTCACACAATCCATGTATGTATGGTTTGTGATAAGAATTGTATGAGCCCCTAATAAAACAATTAAAAAAAAAAAAAAGAAATGACAAGGAAGCAATGGCTTGGGGCAAGCACAGCTTGGTGCTCATAGTAACATGTGGCTACATGGTCTCCCAGTGTGTGTGTAGTGTGTGTATTTTTTTTAAAGGGTGTACAGCTCTGTTTCCTTAGCATGGTGTCATGTTTCAGGGGTCGGTGTGTGTGGCTGGTCTGGCTTGATCTGTAGTGGTTGGTAGTTGCAACTCCTGTGGGTATAGTTGGGATTGGTTTAAACCATGCTCTGTGGACAGACAATGTTACAGTAGACACCTTGAGCAGACATCTTTCGTTCTTGTGGAAGTATTTCTGGGGGTTACACCCCTAGAGATGGAGTTACTGGTAGAAGAGGAAACCCCTTCCGGAAGGCTTCACCCTATTCTGTTTCCACCAAAAGTGTTTGAGCGCCTTGCCTGTGGCAGCATTTTCCCCCTCATTGCCTGCCTATAAGGTGTCCCCATGATTCCGACTGGCTTTCACTTAGCCACTTATCAATAGGGAGCACCGGGATTAATGTGCAGTGCTTTGTTTTATAGTCACATGCATCAGCTCCCTCCATTGCACTCGGTCCGAAGGCTTTTCCTGCTAAACTCTCGAGCTCTCCAGCCCTGTTCCCTCCACGCTCTTCCCCTCAGTTCGATATAGGCACTGCCCTTGCTGAACACAGTGGCGTGCTTCCCATAGTTGTCTCTTCCTCTGAGCACTGGCTAGCTGTGCTCCCCCAGACCCGACCACCTGCCGCTAGAGACAGGACTTGGATTCTGAGCGGTGGCCCTCATGTCACTCTGACCCCTGATGTTTTCGGGCTGCAGTTGTCCCTCGGACCCAGAAGAGAACACTTAGCTCTCCCTTTCCTCCACAGGCAGCCGTGTCCCAGGTCCTTCCCATGCCACCTATGTGACTTCATCCGGAGCCCAGTCAGGATTGTTAGGCCCTTGTCAGTTCCATCTGCATCCTCGCCGGTCTCCCTTCAGGCACTGGCGTTTTGTTTGTCCTGTAGAAATAATCCGTGTACATTATAAAAATAAAGAGAACAAGGATACGAAGAAGGAAATAACCCTTAATCACAACACAGTTACAGCAGTGCAGATCTTTACAGTTCTTCTGTCTCTGCGTGTTTGTTTGTTTGTTTTTTGGGGGGGGGGTTGTTGTTGTTGCTGTTTTAGAGCTATGCTTACAGCCCTGTATATGCCAGACTTTTGTAACTTGCTGCCTTCAACCAAAAGCAAAACCGGCCTGTTGCCCATCCAGTGAATTCCAGCACACAGCCACCCACTAGGATGGAGTCGAACGGCCCCGAAGGCCTTCCAAGGCTGTCATCTCTAGGGAAGCCGATGCTGCCGCCTCCTCACCCGGGGAGTGGCTGGGGCCTCAACAGCCAACCTTTTGGTTAACAGACTGCCTCTTCACCACTGCACAACCAGGACTCTCTTTGCCTCCTCCCCGCGGCAATATGAGTACCTTTTCATGTTAACAACAGCCCAAAGAGCTCTGTGTAGGTCCCTAGGTGTTGCAGGTGGTTTTGACTCCACTGGCACCCCAGCGTAGTAGTGTCTTAGACAATGTTTCCCTTGAGATGGCAGCCAGGAAACCCCAGGGAATGGCCTGGCTGGCAGACGGGGCATTGGGGGGTGGGCGAACTGCAGGTGTGGTTAGGTTAAAATGTAATGCCTTAGCCTTGGTCCTTCCTTCGGACTCAAGGTTAAATTTGTTCCAGTTTGTAATCTTTTCTGATTTTCCATTGAGTTTTTTCTTTGTTTTATTTTGTTATTGTTGTTGGGGTTGTTTTGTTTGGAGGTTGTTGTGTGTGTCTGTATTTTTCTTGATATGAAATCCAGGATAGCTGAATGTTAGATTCTTCGGGTGGGAAATACCTCGGTTCTTGGCTTTGCACAAGAAAGAATTCAGGCCAAAGCCTGGTTTGTGATCCAAGTGGGGGTTTATAAAGGACGGAAGAAGTTTCAGGTTTATAGTCACTGAACACGGGCAACTCTATGAGACTGCACCCTCTTGTGGTAGCCTGAGGCCAGAGAGACCGTGACGTGGTCCAGGAGCTAAAGGGCGAAGAACAGGGGCCGGTCTCACAGTCAGGTATTTGAGGCCTCGTGCTGGGAGGTGTGGTTGAAGGTATTGGTTGACCCCATTGGCTGGGTTAAGCCCACCTGGGCCTAGCTTGGGTTGCCCAGTTAGTCTTTAGGGTTGGCTAAGGGCTCGCCTGATTCTCTTCCAACCTCCTGTAGGGGCCTTCAGGCAAGGGGAGGGACAACCCCCACCTCCACCCCAAGGCCCGCTACCTAACAATTGTTTTTTTCCCTAACAAATTTATAGAGACAGTTACTGAATTAGTAGTTTAATGACTTCTTAGTTTTCCCTCCAGTGTTAATCCAAATATCTTGCTGCTTATAAAACCAGCCCCAGTGTCATTTAATTCTAAGTATATAGAATTTGGGAGTACGCACCATAAACGTTGTGTATAACTGTCCACCTTGGATCTTCTTATCAGTGAGTGACACAGATCCAACAATCTGACCATGGGGTCACTGTGTCAAGTGGATTGGAAGGTCTTTGCTCCACAGCGGCTGACAACAAACAACAGGGACTGCGGCCCTTGTGCACGGCTTACTGCCATTTTGAACAGCGGCGTAGTGTTCGTTGCATAGCCACACCCTGATGCATTTCAGCGGTGGTTGGACGTGTGGAGCAAGCTTTGATCTTGCACTGTTCATACACGCTGATGCTGTGGGGGCCATCCGCTGGCCCTCCTGTAAGCAACTCCATGGTTACATCTTGGAGAGAGGGACTGGAGGAGAACGTGGGGAGAGCCTGCGGACCAATCCCTCTGGTCCCAAAACCATGCTCGTCGTCAGCCGCCCCTCCTGTGTGAGAGCCAGGTGAAAGCTGCCAGTTGGTAGCCGCTTACAGGTGGCTGTGCACGGAGCCCCTGACCCTGTCCTCCACTCTGCTTCTCCCTAGTTTTTCCAGAAGGCAGCAATGAATGTCCGAGACAACATTGGGGAAGAAGTAGATGCGGAGCAGCTGATCCAGGAGGCCTGTCGCAGCTGCTTGGAGCAGGTGAGGCCAGGCCGACAGGCTGTGGGTGCAGGGCTGAGCCTTCAGGGCTCTGCTGAGAAAGACCGTCTGTGTGACGCTGGCTTTGGGAATGCTCCAGGACCACGTCCAGCCAGACAAGGCCTCGAGCAGGGAAGGGCAAGGGCAACCCACTACTTATCGCAACGGACAACCCACTACGCGGCCACAGGGCTCCTGACATGGGCACCGTAACTCAATACAGACGGCGTCTTTGAGTGCCTGTCTTACAGGTGGAGAAATTGTGGCTTGGAACAAGCCAGCATTAGAACAGCTGAATTCGGTCTCTCAGGTGCTGGACTGGTCACCTTCTGTAGCCATGGCTGCTTTTGGTGTTGTGGGGAATGTCAGTCTTCCTGCCTTGCTGCCTCTCCAGGTGTGGTCAGGAAACACGACGTCAGGGCTGGAAACAACTCTGTTCGCACGGTCAGAGGGGTCCTCCTGACACATGCCTGTCACTGCTATTACTGGGCCCACTCAGTGTCATGCAGATTCTGTGCTGGATCAGGAAACCATGAGCTGTCAAAGAGGGAAATTCCTTCATGCTCATAGTGACGGGGCCTCCTTTGAGTTCAGGCCTTTGAGGGCAGGAATACGAGAGAATCATCTTCTCTTGGGGAGGTCAGGACAGACTGAGGAGGAGCAAGACCAGAGCCAGGTGCTCAACTTTGAAAGGCTGGCACTGTGCCTCAGCAGTGCAGCAAGACCCAGGCTGGGTCTCAGGGTATATTCAGTTCATTCTCTAGAACTACAGGATGCTATGACCATTGCCATGTTTGGTGAGAATAAAGGACGCGAGCTTGCTAATCATATTTTACTATTATTGACAAATAGTTATAGTAGTCTGTCTTATTTTCAACTTGAAATGGAACCAAACTTAAGTTCACCAAAACCTTGCTGCTCCCTCATACCCAGACTGTGCCCTTAGATTGAGCTCTCTCTCCAGCACTGTTCCTGAGCGCTTTCTGCCTGCCAGGTACTGTGCCAACCCCCCAGTGGTGGCGAAATGGGCAGAGTGCTTGCTCTCCAGCATCTCCCGGAGTCGAGTCGCAGGCTCTGGCAGAGCTTCCCTCTGGTAACAAACAGAGGAGCCCTCACATCTGAGCCGGGGGGCTGCGGGCTGTCAGAGGGTATGAGCTGAATGCTGGCAGGCTGGGGGGGCAAACCCAGTGGAAGACGCAGCCTTTTAAACAGAAGAGTGGCCCACAGAGACATGCATTTGGACAGGAGCCCCTGGCTGCAGTGAGGCGATGGGTGTAGAAGGGGGGCGGGGCCAGGGGGAAATGGTCGGAGTTCCTGTGAGAATGAGGAGGACGTTCGGGCCACTGAGCTGAGCCTGCACTCCAAGTTGGGCTTACCTGCCCGCCCTCTGCAGGTCCCTCCTCCAGTCCAAGGGCACTGGAGAGCCGGAAAGATGTTTGAGGTCATCTTGGCATCAGCGCACAGGGCAGTCAAAAGCTATTCCTCCCTCGCCCAACATGCAACCTGGTGAATCAAGAAACCCGGAGCCAGTCCCTTAACCTGTCTGAGCCTCTATTTCCTCATCTCTTAAGTCAGGAGTAGAACCACTCCCCCCCACACACACACATGATCTGCTGAGAGCTAAGTGTGGCAATATGCGTAAGCTACCACAGAGTATGCTAGCCGTAGGTATGGTCTGACATGCATAGTCCTTAAATCTTTGTCCGCGTCACTTTGACTTCTGGGGTCCCCGTTTCCAAACTGCAGGTGACGTTCACATTCAGTCTTCAGACCCAGCATAGGGCAGTTCCATCAGGCTTCAGGTGCTTTGCTTCTTTGACCAGGTTGGCGCGTTTTCACTCGAGACCTCATCTTGGGCACCTCAGGCGTGGTCCCTGCTCTCCTTAGCCCCTCCTACACTCGGCCTGGTGTGGCCTTCTGACTGCTGGGCACTCAGTCATCTCCTACCGGAGGAAACGCCGGTGACTAGGGAATATGTTTATATCCATGCCTTCAGGTTACACACACACACACACACACACAGACGTAAGCACACATCTATAAAAGGACGGAAGTCTGGAAGAGGGACATCCAGCAGTTTTAGGGAGGTGACCAGGTTTCAGGTTGGTCATTGGTGTTTTGTTTATTTGCGGGTTCTCATTCTTGAACAATAATCTTGAATTCTCTTGAGTTTGGGTTTTAATAAATACCTTAGGGTCGTCCCTAGCGCAGCGTGACTGTACCAGTTGGTGCGATGTTTTCAGCCAGGTTAGAGGTGTAATAATGGTGGCAAGGGGGTGCCTCCCCAAAGAGAAACAGTGACTGTTTGCGCTTGATGGACTCCACACAGGCTAAGCTGCTGTTTGCAGATGGAGAAAAAGCCATACCCAGACTGGCCCATGAGCTTCCAGGGATAAAGGTCAGAGTCACTGGGTCCCCGGGCACAAAGGGGACACTGAGAAGGTTGGGTGGCCTCGGGAGTTCTTGTACCACCCATTTGTCGAACCCAGTCCACCAGGGTGGCTCAGGCCTGGGCCGGGTGGGGGAAGGGGGAAGAGAGGGTTGGGGACATGGAAGGGGTGGAGCCCAGCCTTCCACTGACTTCCCCCTACTCTCACCCTAGCGGGGGCGGCAAACTGAAGATGAATGTGCCCACCGAGGAAGCCCCGTTCCCAAAAAGGTAACGCACCCCCGTGCCCCCGCCCTCCACCAACCCGCCCACCACTACCACCCAAGTTCTAGCCAAGAAACGCCCTAGCAGGTGCTGAGCTCCAGGCAGGGACCCTAGACATTGTCACCCCCCCTCTTCACACTCAAACATCTTTGGTTCTCATCGGAAAGCCATCTCCACGGGGTGACCCTGGCCGTTCCATTGGGGTGGGGCCCTTCCCACGGGGCCAGCCCTCTGACAACTGTTCTTGATGGCAGAGGAAGGGACGGCCTCCTGCACACATCCTGGCGAATGACCGGGCAGCCTCCGGCATGGGGTGAGTGTGGCCATCAGGGTGGTGGGGGGGGGGGGGGGCCGAGTTCTCTGCCACCTGGTTCACTCACCATGAGGGAAGGGAACCTGCTTGGAGGGCCAGGGCGGAAAGACAGGAAGGAGGGGGCTCTTGACCTTGTTGCTGCCCAGCCTGATTACCCTGCAGTTTCTTTATTCTGGGCCCCAGTGGGTGCCTACAATGTGTCCATGCTGGTCTAAACCTCCTGTTGGTTACCACCGAAGCCACATCATTTCCCTCTAATTGTGTCAATAAAGAAACTGAGACACAGAAATGGCTTGCCCAGGGGCACAGGCCCAATGAGGGCAAACACTTCATTCAACACTGGCTCCAGAGTAGTCACCCTTGGACGTGCTTGAAGCAGCAGAATCTTCCAACCAAACCCTTCATGGGAGCCCGCTATGCAGAGAGAGAGACAGCCTTGGTAGGGGCGGGGCGAAGAGGGATGGGGAATAGTGTCAACTCCCATGTGCAGGGGAAGGAATCACATTAGCGACCACACTTAGACTTGCTTCCTGCCCCAAGTGCATGAGCACACGGGGGCCACAGCAGCAACAAGCTTACAACCCCATCCCTGGACCTCGCTGTGGAGCAGTGACCTTCCTTCCTTCCTTCCTTCCTTCCACCCAGATGGAAACCAAAGTCCTGTGAGCCAATTCGCCGGGAAGGCCCCAAGGTACGGTGACGTAAGCGTGGCCAGCACAGTGATCTGGGCAGATCCAGCCCAGGCTGGGGGCCCACCACAAGGGTGGGGGGCTGGGATGTGGGAGGTGGGTGCCCTCAATCCCAGGGCATCGCCCCTACCCCCAAGTTAGTTGCATGGGCCTCCAGAGAGGACCCAGGAGGGATCCGAGTCCAGAACTGGAATCGTTACTGGGGAAGCCTTTTACTTGGGGTGGATTGCCTCCTTTAGACCCTACACCTGCCTTAGGAGGTGTGTCTGAAGAGCCCGCCAGCTTCCCTGTGGACAAGAGAGGACTTTCTCTGACTCTCTCAGACGATGAATACACTTGAGCCTTGTTAAGGCCAAAAGACTTGTCCAAAGTCACACAACCAGTACACGGTTGAGCCAGCTCTTGAACCCATCTGCTCCTGGTTGTGTTACCTGGACAACTGTTGGGAGTCTGTGTTGCAGGGAGTCCAGACGGCCACTGTGCTGGCTTGGGCTCACCCAGGAGACCTTGCCCTCCGCCGTCTGCTGCACACGGCGTCACTCCTAGCTTCTAAAGCTATTCCTCTCAGAGCCGGTAGACCTACCTGCATCTAGATCTTTCTCTTCCTCTTCAGAGATAGCGTCTGTTTTGTGTGAACACCAACCCATGTATGTGGTTACCTCTAGACGTTTCTCTGGGACCCACTTCTCCCTCCCCGCCAGATGATCTACTTCACTGGTGGTGTCAAGGCCACCAGGTGTGAACACCCTCACACCTTTGTCCTTCCCAGGAATCGCTTCTCAGCCTTTTAGCTAAAATCAGGTGTCCTTCCCAGGAAGGACTTGTATGTCCTGCTTCCTGGGGGGAAATCCCCTAGGCATTCCCTACGCAGCATCTGTCCACACAGGCCTCCTCTTACGTCGTTCTCTCCCATAGTCCTTGTCCCCTTTGCCCATCCCATGCCCCCACATCAATATATTGCAGTAGCCCTGCGCCCTCCTTGTCCTTCTGCTGGTCCGGTCAGGACCTCCTCGTCCTTCAAAATGCCTTATGACAACCTTTTGCTTTATTTATTTATTTTTACAACTTTTTATTACAAAAGACTTTGTTCTTAAAATTTTTGATTGCGTCAGCCTCTGGGCTGGTCTCCCTGCCTTAGCCGCTCAGATCCATTATCCACATTGCTGTAAGAGTGGGCAGCCTTAAAGCAAGTCTCTCTGACACACCCTGGACAGAGCATTCTGGGGCCCTGGCCCCTCCCTGCTTCTGTCTCATCCACACGTTGCCACTCCTTCCCGTGTCCTTCCACGACCGGACCTACTCGTTTCCCAGAAATGCCAGGCCAACCTCCACCAGCCTCTGGAAGGGCTGTGTGCTTCCCTCCACCGCGCTGAACCTGCACTCATCCTTCCAGAACGAGTTTGGGAATTAGCCCTTCAGGGAAGCATCCCTGACTGTGACCCTCCCACTTGGCCCCCTTCCTAAAACACCTATTGTCTGCCCATGTCTGTGGCCTCCTGGGAGCAAAGAGTGCAGCTCAGGCGGCTCTTATCCCCAGTAGCTAGCACATGACCTAACGGGGCACAAGCACCCGACTGTTCTTGCTCATTTTATCGTTGTTGCCTTCTTTTATTGAGAGTACAGACAGCAAAGTAGACACCAGCCCAGCAGCATTCAGTGCCATGGACGGAGACCTTCAAGTTGTGTGCCCACACGCTCCTTTTCTGGACTGTTCCCCCCACCCCCGTTACTATAAACTCCCTGCCCCCTGGGGGTTTTATTCAATCCTTCAAGTACTTGGTCTCTTAAATAAGCTGTCTGTCCTCTGCCTTGAGCATGGAGTTCTTTAAAGAACTCTATGGGATCAAGGAACCTGCTGGCATGGTGGGTCTGTATTGGGCTGCTAACCACAAGGTCAGCAGTTTGGACCCACCAGCTACTCCGAGGGAGAAAAACGAGGCTTTCTGCCACCAGCCATGTTTTTGTGCCCGTTTCCTTGGACACCATGATGCCCTCCAGCTCGTGTTCGCCCTCATCCGATGCTACAGCTCTGTGGTTATCTTGCACTTGTCCTGTGTAAGGCTTAGTAAGTGTTCTCTTTCCATAGACAGTAGACTGGGTTTTTTAAAGGTGAGGCTTTCTGCCTCTGTAAAGATTGATCACCTCAGAAACCCCAACAGGGTGTCCTGTAGGGTGGGAGGGAGTTCAGTTTTGAAACGTTTCTTATGGTTCAACCAGGAGCCCTGGTGGCACAGTAGGCTACGCACTGCGGTGCTAACTGCAAGGTCCACAGTTCAAACCCACCGTTCACATTATTATGGAAGCAGAAAGCCTCGTCTTTTGCCTTGGGAGAGGTTTGCAGCCTCAGAAACCCCGGAGAGGAATGGACTCGCTGGCAGTGGGCTGGGTGGGGTTGCATATATAGGGGATCAAAGTGAACACAGCAACTGCCAAGACTAGATGC